TTTTATACTTAAAAAGATGTCATTTACTATTACGATTTGAAAAATTTGGTGTCATATAATAAACACTTCAAAGTTAAAAGTAGGTTATGGTAAAAAATATATTCTATTTGATATAATTATATTCCACTATATGTACATGTTTCTGACATGTACGTCTAGGTAATAAGGACATTTTTATATTCAATTTAAAGACAGTTTATATTCATTTTATTTTATGATTTTATCAATTTAATTTGGTTTTGCATACATGTATAGAAATAACATATATATCTAAGATGAGAATAAGAAAGTTTTCGGAAGTTGACGAATTTTTAAAGACTTTTTTTAGATAATTTCAGTAATACTTAATACGTACTTTTACAATAGAATAATTTCTAAACCATAAAATTTTTTGGTTTTAAAATTTTTTTTATAAGAGATATCGGCTACTTTTGTTTTTGACTATTTGCACTAGACTGTTTCAAATACCTTGATGAATAGTTATTTAATGAGCTAATATGTAAGGTTTGAAGGTATCCGTTTTCCTCGTTTGAGAAAAAATTAAGGCCTGGTCTCTTAATTTACTATGACGAAATAAAACGCTATCTAAAATCAATGTTTACTTTTTAGAATTCTGATAAGCAATATTATAAGAAGTTGCTTGTAGAACTTAATAAGATGGACTCATCTAAACTCCCATTAACAGTACTTCCTTGTATTCATTCAAAGAATTGTTGACGCTGTGTTTGTAAATAATATTTATGATATTAATATATGAAATATTTGTATAAATATATGTAATAATGCAATAATTTTTAAATGAATAAATTTTGCAATAATTTTTTTAATAGACTTTTTTTTAAATATAATCAGATGGCGATATAATATAAAAAACGTTTTTGTGGGTGCGTTAAAAACTACGGTGGGTCCCTGAGCCTAAATTTTTGTTATCGGGTGAATTTGCTTCTAAAGGTTGAGTTTGAGTGGTCACTTCTATTGCTCCCAAAAAATATAATATCTCATTTCCGCGTGCCAAAAATTTGTATTCCATCAAGCCTATCTTTGACAAAAACTATGAAGATTGCAAAAAATCCGTTTGCCTAATTTATACGAAAAAAGCAGACAAATGCCCTGAAATTTTGAGACCATAATGCTGATATAAAATCCCATCAAAATTCTTTGAAGCGGTGATACTGTATACCATAAACTATCCATAATTAAATTTTAAAAACTTGTATTTCTACATTATATATATTTATTCCAGATATAAGCGATCGTTTCCCGATTTTCATAAATATGAAAATCCTTAAGTCTCTGTCTGACTGTCAATCTAAAATCATACATTTCAAAAAACGAAATCTAAAAATGAGTAACACTAATAAGTTAACAAGTTGACTAAAACAAGAAACGTGGAACAACGTATATAAATGTTAAGATACTAATGAAGCTTGCAATGTTTTTTAAAGTACATTTTTGGAGTATTTTAACAAAACCTGTGCACAAGAGATTATAAAGATTAAGTCAAAAGCAATTGTTAATCCGTGAATGGATAAATCGTTATTAAAGAGCTCAAAAAAAACCAAAAACTTTACAATAAATTTCTGAAAAGTAAAAACTGAAAAAAAATCGCAAAAGTTAAATATTTTTACTAAGATTTCTTTTTTTTTTTTTTTATTTGAATTTTCATGCTATATTTTTCTATACAATGTTGTATTCGAAGATGTTGTTGGCTTAGCATAGGAGCAGCCAGTCAAATAGTCATTAAGACTAATCTAAAGTAGCGTTCGTTATTGACCAATATTTTTGCGTACAGTCATTAAAAATGCAAAAAAAAAAAAAAAAAAATATTACAGTAATCAAATTAACAAATGTAAATTTGATAGCAAAAAAACATAGTCCTTCATTAATGTAATAATGGGAAGAGAAAAACTAAATTCGCCTTCTCTACCTAAACGAATCGCTATTGCAAACAACGATACATTTTGTCAAAAACTCATCTAGGATGAATTCAATAAATAATTTATAAGTATTGGTCCGAATCTTGTCAAAAAAATAATACCAAATATAATAAGGATGCTTTGCAACCAATAATACCAAAAATAATAAGGATGCTTTGCAAAAAATTGCGATGATTTGAAAACAAAGTATATACTATTTCATAAAAAAACACAAGAAGAAAATCTTCCTCTCATGTTGCCTAACCTATTCCTTAATAATAAACTAATTAAAAAGTAATCCAATATAAGGTTTTTAGGAATAATTGTTGATGAAAAGTTATCCTGGCTTCCTCATATAATATACATCCAGTCAAAAATCACCAAAATCATAAGTTTAAGATGTATCGAGTTCGCTCTTACGTCAATACACAAAGTTTTAAATTAATCTACTTTAAACTAATTCATAGTTTCATCAGCTATGCAAATATTTCATTTGCAAGTATTCAAACATCAAAGCTTAAAAAACTGTATTGTTTACAAAAACATGCTTGCAGAATCATTTACTATAAGGATAGACGTGAACATGCTAAACCCTTAATGAAAGATATCAAAATGATGAATGTGTTTGAAACAAATGTCTATCAGCATTTAATTTTTATGTATCGTTACAATTGGAATATCTCTACTGTAAGGTTTAATAACAAGTTTGAATTAAAAATGTAAACTATAATCTTAGAGCAAATATGTTAAACACATATAAACTGCCTCGGATAATAAATAAATATTCAGAATAAAGCATTTCATATCGAGGTCCTAAAGTATAGAATACATTTCAAAAAGGATTCAAAGGTATGGTTTATTCGTTAAGTTCATTCAAGTTTCTAACAAAAAAAGAAATTTTTAAAACTTGAGAAACGTTTTCGGTTAATGTTACTACTCTACTTTTGTTTGTTACCTAACAATCTAATTAGTGAATTACACATTTTATTACGATATTTATTGCGATATTTAATTAGAATTTTATTACGTATATATTTTACGAAATTTTATTACGTATTATATATTACAATATTTTATTGAAATTTTGTTAAAAGAGCTCTATTTTATGAAGTACGAAGCTGTAAATTTTTTATGTCATATTAAAACAGAAAAAAAAAAAAAGTATTGAGATCCAACAGAGTTATTAATATTTTTCTAGAACTGATATTTATCTGAAGTTATAACAACTTATGACTTCTCCCAAAAAAAATTCTTTCACTCAAAAAAGTCTAAATACACAGAATTGATTTCTGAATTATTTTATAACTCTTATTAACAAACCTATTGGCAATAAAAACACCTCTCAATAAATAAATCTAGCAACACAACATTTTTCAGATTGTTCTTAAGCGAATTTTTTGCATCTTGGTCCAGTTTTGCGCAGTTAGTTCAAACTTTTTTGCTGTTGTAATCAGCAACACTGTCTTTGAGCTGATGAGAGTAGTTGGGATGAGAAGCATCTCATTTGTGTGACTTTTGAAACAAGAATGTAAAGCTTCAGTTGCTTGTTAAAAGAAATTTCAGCTCATTCACCTTTTTTGAGTAACTTCATGCAATCATTGTCATTGTAGTTGTTATGGCAAAGTTGAAGAGGGTTGTGAATGGCTCAAAGCCAATCCATGGTTTTTAGCCATTTTTTTACCAGGCTTTTCACAATGTTATTGAACAGAAAAACGTAAATTAAGTTTCAGGGGAAGAAGTACTTCTAAGATAACTGTTGGTTAGGAAAAGGAAGTAAAGGAGGATCAACAGCATTAAAGAAAGGTTTGCCATTTTTCAAATCACCTCCAGATCGGATAAAACTCTGGATTTGCTGTTTAATGCTTTCAAAGGTACAAAATTTTCCACATGCAGTAAGTTTTGAAGACTCAATTTCACACCAACAACATGGGTGTTTGCTTCTATGAGAACTCCAAAAATTATGTTTGCAAGCTTCATGTCACACGAGATAACCAAGGAGCTGAAAAAGCAATTTTTTTTCAAATCAATGAGTTGAAAATTTGCCTTGACGTTCATAAAGTTTTCTGGTATATTTTCTGCAATTGCCACTATCAGTTGCTTCTTAATTCCTGTGCTTTTGTGGCCCTTTTTTGACTAAAGTTTGACTGACTTTTGAAGAAGACTATGTGGCTCAGACTCATCGAGCTTTGAGTCAATTAATCTTAAACTCAATTTCAAGAAAGAACTACCACCATCTATTCCAAGCCTTAGAACAGTATTGCTTTCAAGTTCTCTTGATGATAAGACTTTTTCTTTGAGCTGACTCAGATCCTGCAATGAACCACTCGGTAATTTTCTGAACTGGCAGCAAGTTTTAGGGAGCTTATGGTGAGGTAGTCTCTCAATGCTTTGCCACTGTTAGCAAGTTTTTGCTGAAAGTTGGTTTCTACTAGGCTTACTGTGCTAATCTGGTTGAGAGCAGATCCAATTTTCCTTATTACAGTATTTGAAAGCCCCGTATTCTATCGGATTAAAGAGTAAAGTAAAGATTTGCTGTGCAGCTAATGACTCTAAAAGTTACATTATAAATCAAAATTATATTATTAACATTTTGTAATGCCAATAAGATTAATTGGGAAAAATGTTTTTGTACATTATCCTTTTTAGCCAATCAACCTTTTAACCCATTAGGCCAATGTCATTAATTGTGGTTGGTTGATCCGAACTGTTCCTTTTGGTGATGCATCTTTGCCTGAAATCACTGTGGATGCAATTTGCTCTACACCTATTGTATCTGCCGATTCAAGTTCTCTGCGGTTTACATGATGTTTTCCTTATGTACAATGATAAAGATGTCCACGAGCAAGCAAAGACAAGCAAAATGTGCACTTTTTTTTAGCTGCAGTAGTTTGTGGACTGGCTTGGGCTTCATTGAATTGTTGAGGGTTTTTCTCTTTGCTATTAGTTTTGGCAATTTTGCAGATCAAACAATCACACTGTTCTATTTGCTTTGTGATGGTTTTTACTCTTTTGCCTAATAAAATTTTAGGCCTGTTCAATTTTGAAAAAAAAATCACTTGACTGATTGATTTTGAATTGACAAGTCATGCAAATTTCAGAAGGCACACGATAATCTCGTGAATTTTGTTCTGGTAAGATTCTGATAGGAATAAGTTGAGTAAATTCTCTAAGCTCAAAAATAATAATTGAAGTTCTAGATAAGCTCTTTTATTTACCTATACAAAGTTTAGAGTGATCAGTTATCACTTTGATAATTAAAAACTTGAAAATGTATTTTTAAGAGATGATATCTATCTTTCAATAACGATGAAATTTAACTTTCTGCACAAAATACCCAAATTAAAATATTTATGTTAGATTTTAAACAATGATTTCAATTTTTGGTGTTATGAAAACCTTATAACATACATAACCATAGGTTAAAATGATTTTAATGGGATATTTTTTCAGCATTAGGTCCCAGATTTTTAGGGTGTGGTTGTTATTAGTGTCACCATTGTTGCTTAATTTATTTAAATTATCAAAGTTAAGCCTAATTTATTTGTTAACTTGTTTTGCTGCTTTTTTGTTGTCAACATCTTCCAACTTCTCGAGTATTTCAAGTTTATTAAGAACCTCCGCTTCAATTTTTGGCATGTTTACATTTTTTCATTTTTTGTGTCTCAACTTCTCGGATGCAAAGCATTTGTTGCAAAGCTGCGGCAAGTGGTTAAGTCGATTTCAATCGTTTTTCAACTTTTTTTGAAATTTCTTTTGAATAGACCAAATTTTTACAACATTCTAGTCGTCGAAATGACAAAAACTCATTTTAAGATGATGGTCTTTCATACGCATTAGCGATTTGTGATTTTGAGTGACTGAATTTTAAAATGTTGAATGGAAACAAAC